TTAGCCTACATTGCTCAGAGTTTGCTGTCAGTTTTTTTTAGGGATGTCAATTGTACCCGTACACGATGGGGAACTCGGTTTTTCGCCCACGGGGAACGGGATGGGACAAAAATAGGGGATCGGGGATGGGGGCAATTTTGAATTTCCCGCCGGGGACTTGGGTAGGGATGGGGAGTGCTCTCCCCGCCCTGCCCCGTCCCCGATATATGTATGTGTGTATGTATGGCCACACAACATAGACATATGTATTACTTTGTATATAATATATATAACTAGTGTCTTACCCGTGCGATGCACGACAACGATTATGATATAATGAGTTAAGGGAGAAATTTAAAAAATGGAAAATCATTGTAGCAGTGTATGAAAGAAGTCATTATTAAGTATTATAATAAAGTGTTACAAATTTTCGAAAATATCTTTGTATACAGTGTTTGCTGTAAAATACTTTGAATAGATAATAATTAGTATATATGATCCAGATATTTTTGTAATTAATATTGTGTTTTTGAGCCCGGAAATGATCAATCGTAATTGATTAATGGAAATTATATATATATATATATATATATATATATATATATATATATATATATATATATATATTTAATGCAAGCTACTGTAATTTTTGTTCAGTAAATGAACTAATTTGAAATGAATGAAATTTAATTTTTGTTCGGTAAATGAAATTTAAGTTGAAACTGTAAAATTACACAGAAACATATATTGCATAACCAGAATGAAATTTAAGAAGCCAATTATTTGTATAGTCGAAAATAGGAAATGAAATGTTGAAACATAGTAGCAGATTCAAAAGTCTGTTCGAAAACAAAATGTAAGCAATACTGAAATGAAATTACAACGAAATTAAGGAAGTAGGTTGCATTGTTTATACTATTTGTGATCAAAGTTTCTCTTCTTTCACAATCGCCTTTGTCTTCTTTCCCACAACATTAGTAGAATACTGATCATTCAAACAACGTTTCACTGGACGCTTGAGTGGTTCAACTTCATCAATATCAATTCACTGTCATCCTTGGATTTTTCCTTTATGGGTGTAGTGACCTCATCTCCAGAAGACAAATCCTTGAAAATAATAACAAACAAAAATTAAATATGATTCAAATTAAAGAAATAAACATAAATATAGTGATTACTAAATTAAACATGGGGAGTATTACCTCTATGTGGTTGTCTTGCATGTTGTGTAATTTTGAACAAATATCATATTCCTGTGTAATTAATTATGATTAAAATTCTCAATGTGTATTTCTTTTTTTTTTCTTTTTTTTAAGTGAAATTGGAGTTTCAAATATGTAAATAATTAAATGTTATTAATAACCTGATTCTCTCGCATCAAAGACTCGCGGAACTTTGAGATAAGTGTTGCATCACAATTGAGTTTCATTATTGTGAAAGGGCCACGATAATTATTCCGCTGTTCAGGCTTCACTTGCACTTTAAATAGGACTTCCTTATCCACAATTATTTGCATCTCAAGTGGAAGTTCATTTGCATTACCCATCATGATAAATGGAAGTAAAATAATAAACGTATCAATTTTATACATTATATAAGTAATTTATTTCATAATTATGTACATTTGTACTGAACACTACTTGTTACCTTTTGACTCGAAGTTTTTAAATCTTTAGCTGACTTCCCAATCAATTCATTACATTCCCGATCCCACAATTGAAAAGGTGCATTCCCAGTGGCATCAACAACACGTATTGTAAGTTTATATCTAAAATTTCCATCTAGATATGAGTTATCACATTTGTCACAGTATATTACTGTATATAAGGGAATTGGGAAATTATTAATTATTATATGTCTGTTATCATTAATAAATGACAGTTATAGCAATAGAAAAATACCTCCGAAAAATCATACAACTGTTCAATGGTACGGCTCTTGAGTGTATCCCAATTAATTTCATCTTCTAGTGTAGCCGACAAAATTCTTGATGATGTGTTCAAAGATAGTTTTGGTATTGTGGCTGGCACAGGCTGCGAACTGTTGCAGAGAGTTGAGTTTGAAAAGGGAAAAATAAACTCGTCAAAGCGCACATGGCGGCAGATATAGATTTTTCCACTCGTTAGGTTCATGCATCTATAGCCCCTAAAGCTGGGAGGGTAACCTAAGAAGACACAGGGTGCTGAGCGGTACTATGTCTTATGGCGATTGTAGGGCCGTAGATAGGGGTAACACCGGCACCCGAAGACTCGGAGAAAAGTGTAGGGTGGTGGAGTTTTATACAAGCATGTGTATGGGCTCTCAAACTGCAAGATTGATGTAGGTAAATAGTTGATTAGGCAGGTAGTCGTTTCGAAGGCAAATTCCCAATATTGTTGAGGGACTGAACCTTCGACTAATAGGGCTAACCCGGTTTCAACAATATGCCAGTTTTTGCGCTCTACTCTGCCATTTTGTTCGTGTGTGTACGTACATGACTGACGGTGAGTTATACCAAGTTTGGTAAAGGTGTGATGTAGTTTGCGGTATTCCCCGCCTAGATTGGATTGAATAGACTTGATAGAACGCGAAAATTGACGTTCTACCATGACACGGAACGACTCAAAAGTTTTATAGATGTCAGATTTTACCCGTAAGAGATAAAACCAGCAGAAACGCGAGTAATCATCTACAAATAGCAAAAAGTATCTAAATCCACTAGCAGAGATTACAGGAGCCGGGCCCCAGATGTGTGTATATAATAAATCGAATACATTTTTATTAGAATAGGAAACCCTATCTAATGGGAATCTAGAAGCTTTGCCGAGATGACAGGAAGTGCACGACCCCAACGACTTGACTTTATTTGGTGCAACCGGACACGACTGTAAGACGCGGTTTTGAACATGGGCATTCGGATGGCCCAACCTGCGGTGCCAAACCGTGGGAGTTGCACGGGAAGTGAGATAAGAAAAATGAGACCGAGAGACCGGGAGCCTGTATAAGCCGCCCGATGTGGAACCTCTAAGCAACACCGCCCTGGTGATTGAATCCTTCACAATGAAACAGTCTTTGCGAAATTCAAAAAACACATTATTTTTGTTCGTAAGCCGGTAAACAGACAATAAAGGAACAGATAACTTTGGGACATATAGGACATTGGACAAATGTAACAATTTTGACTCGGATGGTATAGAGGCATGACCAACGCGCGAAATTATCAAACTTGCGTCATTACCAACACGGAGGACGTCACTACCGGTATACTCATCCGATTGTGACATCATGGATGCGTCCGGGGTGGCATGGGCCGACGCCCCGGTGTCTGGAAACCATCCCGCCGTTGAGTTCGCTGCCGCCGAGTCATCGCCGGAGACCACCAAGTGCGCCTGTGCCGGCGGTTGCGGTGCATACCATTTGTAGCAGTAGACCGCGGTGTGTCCCTGCGAGTGGAATATCTGGCAGCGCAGTGCACCACCACGTCCTCCACGCCCGCGACCTTGACCGCCCCTACCACGGCCTTGGTTACCGCGACCATTGCCACCCGAACCACCTCGTCCGCCGTGACCACCATTGCAACGGCCTCGACCAACAAACAGAGCCAACGGAGCAGCCACCAATCCACCATCATATTCGGACAGGAAGTCCTCGGCGTGAATAAACTCCTACGCTTGCAGGTAATCAGAGATCTGAGGAATCGTTACGAGTGTACCTGTCGCTATGAGGGAAGAAGCCATAGCGCTATATTCTAGACGCAAGCCATGGAACACGAACAGATTCTGTTCGTCCAGCGAAATAGGGCGGCCGGCATGCGCAAGATCTTCCACCAACAATTGAGCACGACCCAAGTATTCCACCGCGCTGCTGTTGCCCTACCAGAGAAAATGGAATTGGCCGAGAAGACTCAGGCACCGAGCTCGCAAGGAACTGCCGAGCGCTGCCCCGATGGACTCCTAGACCGCTCTCGACGTGGTTCTCCCGACGGCCAAATACATCACTTCATCGGAAAGTGACGATATGAGCAGAGATAGTATGGATTGATCTTGCTTAATCCAGGCTCTGTACGCCGGATTTGGCGTCGGCGCCGCGGTGGTTGCGTCGGAGACGGAGTCGCCGGAGGCCGGAACAGGTGCGACAGTCGGCGGTGGGTATGGCGTCTCGCCTTCAACATAGCCGAGGAGCTCCTGTCCACGGAGGAACGACACCAGCTGTGTTCGCCAAAAAAGAAAGTTCCAATATGTAAGTTTTATCGAAACGAAATGGTGAGCACTTGATAGGGGATTTGGGGTGGTGTTTGGAGGAGATGCGTCGCTGGCGGTCACAGTCCGTTCGGATGAATTGGCATGGTGGTCGACCGACATTTAGGAGAGGGGAGGAGGATCGTAATCGATCGTTGTAGGGAGAGAGGAGAGAGAAAAGACCTGGACTATCCGATACCAGATGAGATAAACGTTAACTGTTTCAATTCCAATAGAATAGAGATTACAATACCATAGACTATAATCAACAGCGTAAACTAATCCTATCTATCAGGAAAGTCATAAAGAACTAACATATTACAAAGACTAGTCAAAGATGTAACACATAATAATAATATTGCTAACATTCCTGAATACAATGTACATTTTTAATATATTAAAAGTACATTATTTTTATATTAAATGTACATTATTTTACAGTATACAAAATATGTTCTACACAATAATAATTGAAGATACAGTGGACTTTACCCAAAAGGACAAAAATAAAAAATAAAAAAATCTTAGCCCGAAATCTCTAATTGACCAAATGCTGAAACTAGACTTCACTAAATGGGCTTTAACTTTCTCTAAAATACTCCCGTAGTATCAGAATGCTCCACAAGATTCTAGAAAGGTTGAAGTTGCAAAATATCTCCAGTACCTTCTGGAAATCTCCTGAAATTTCCCTCCATCAATAAATATACCAATTTGAATTCCCAGAATTGAAAGCGATAATCCAGTTTTCAAAAAATTTAAATTAAAAAAAAAAAACGATAATCCAAGCCTGAAAATTCGACAACAATGGAGAACCCATTTTACGGAAGCTACTGGTCCCGACCCTCTCGCCCCCGTTGTCCTGTGTATCCGTTTCAACATAAGCCGGTTGATGAATCGCCGGAGTCGAAGATCGTTCAGATTCCGGTCCACTTCGTACGGCCGGAGCCTACCCGAGCCGCTGCTGCGTTGAAGATCCAGAAGGTGTTTCGCGGCTTTCTGGTGAGGAAAAGCATGAATCGCGTGATGTCCGTAGCGCGGGAGTTGGATGAAATTGAGCGGAGAGTTTCGCAGAGAGAAACGGTGGAGGTGTTGCGGAGAGACGAGAGGGAGAGGATCCGCGTGAACGAGATGCTCATGTCTCTGCTCTTCAAATTGGATTCGGTTCGCGGGGTTGATTCGGGAGTTAGAGTTTGCAGGAAGGCTGTCACCAGAAAGGCCATTGCTCTGCAAGAGAGAATTGACGCAATTGTTAACAACTCCCATCAACAAACTGTAATGGATAATGGCGACAGTGAAGCTGCCAATGTATGCGATTTTCCTGATTCTTAGCAATCTGAATCCGTTGATCAAATACCATGTATCGGCGATTCGTCTGAGAGTGAACTTGAAACTGGAAGGACAGCCTATCAATCTGATAATCCTGCTCAAATTGATACCGATAGTGTTGAAGAACCTAACGATTCTCCTGAAAACGTTGAAAAATCCGAATTGGAAGATGATGAACGCGATGACACACAATTGATGGAGGAGAAGAATGGAAGGCTGGAGATTGAAGAGAGTAGCAACAGGGAAGATGAAACAACAGAAACAGAGAATTGGTGGAGAGGATGATGGAGGAGAATAGAAAGATGATGGGGTTGATGGTACAGATTTCGGAGAGAAATGAAGCGCAGACGAGAATGGTGGAAGCGCTGACGCAGCGTGTGGAGCACTTGGAGAAATGTATCGTCTGTGATAGGCGGCTAAGAAGGAAGAAGATGAAGAAGATGAAGAAGAAGAAGCATACCCCTTGATCGATGCTTATAGATACAGTCATGTTTTATATGATGATGAATCACTCTTCTTGATGATTTCTTCATTCAGAAATTTTTGTTCTGAAAGAAATCCTTGTATCAATCCATTTTGCATTTATACACAATTTTTGGTCTGAAATCCTCGTGTTGGAGCAATTAAGAAAGCCATTGGTTCTTTCCACTCCACATCAACAAGATATAGTTTTGTAAGATTTTTCCTAATAATATATATTATATATTATATATTATATATTAGGGCCTTAATTAAGTGGTGCAAGTTGACTAGGCTTATTAAGTGGTCTAGTTGGACTTAATAACTAGTAGTTGTTAGTTAACCAAATTTTATGCCTAATATAATCTGGATTGATGGGATACAGGATTATGGATTAGATAGCACATTCAGTTACGGTACTCAGACTGCTCAGTAGATACTAATACACTATCTAGGGTTTTGAGTCAGGTCTGAGGCAAAACATGGCTGACGGGCTTCCGCTATCATACGAGGTTAGGTTTCTCGTATACTATGGTTCATATAGTTAGACTATTGTATATCTAACATTTGGTATCAGAGCCATTATAATCTCTGCCTGGTTGATTGTATTGCCTAGAATCAACATTAGGTTTTTCATATACATTGAGCTTTCGTATATATTTTAATTCTTTAAACTATACACGTAAAAATATATCTATTCAGTACAGATATAATTATGTAATTTATCGTGTATGTTTTGGGGTGAAATAATTACTGATTATGCCAGAATTATGAATGCTTTTGGTTAATTTGAATATGTATGCAACCTGAATATAATATTCTATTAAAGGCATACATATATTTGTGCTTTCGTTTTACAGTCTGTATGTACATATATATTCGGTTTCATATATGTATATATATATATTCGGTTTCATATATGTATACATATATGTGTTTTTCGAAATATTAAGGAGATAATTTCGAATATAAAGCATAAACCCACTGGCTACTGCCTTGCTATTTGTTTGCCGGAAAAATCATCGGATTGAGTCGCCGGTGCTTTTTGGTTGTTGTTGACGCGTCGCCGGATTCTGTTAACGGCGGTGGACAGCGTTGGTGGAGGATATGACGGCGGCGTTCTGACGTTGCAACCAGGAGAGACGACGCCGGCGTTGGTGTCGTGACAAGGAGAGACGGTGGAGGTTGGCTGAGTTACCGGCTCGCCGCTATTGTCCCCCTCCCTTCAGGCGATGCCAGCTTCGGCCATCGTTGCTCCCTTCTACAGGCGGCGGCGGCACCGGCTCCGGAATGTTGCTGTTCTCTGTCGTCGCTTCAGTCTCTCACGGCAGCTAAGGTAGTTCAGGCTGCTAGGCATAAAGAGGAAGAAGATGATGATGGATTATGAAGGTTGGGCCGGGTCAGGCCCATTGGGGCAGACCGGTCCAATAATATTAAAAAACAAAAAAACCTTGGGCCTGTTTTTGGTTTTGGGCTGGCTTTAGTTGATCCATCATCATATTTAGACTTCTTCTAGCTTAATTGTTCAATTTAATTCCTCATTAATTTATTATTAAATTATCATTCAATTTTGGGCAAATATTAAGTTTTTAATTTGCTACTTGAATTTTAATTTAATGTTGAGGTTTATGTTAAATTGCTTTAAGTATTGCAATTTATATTTAAGATATATGGGTTAATAATATATTAATATGCAAATTTAAGCATGCTACGTATATTCATAAATTATTGTTATTGTTATACATTCATAATAGCATGCATTAAGGTTGGATTTAGCATATTATTAACTCATAAATTCTTTTTTAAATATCATTCAATTTTGGATCCTTAGAGCATCCACACTTGTGCATATTATGGGGAGATTTCAGTATTAATTCTTCTCAATGGGGATAATAACAAATGTGGGGTGGGGTGGAGATATTCATACTGCAAATGAAGGGAGAATGGCAGAAAAAGAAGAAAGAGAAAGAAAAGAAAAAAGGGCTGCTGTGCGCGTTTCGCGCACAGCAGCCCGCCCACACGGGCGCGTCAGGCGCACCGAACGGCGCGCCTGACAGGTTTTTTTTTTTTTTTTCGTTTGTTTTTTAATTTTGGTTTTTTTTTTTTCTCTCTTCCCCACATTCTCTCTCCTAATCACTCTTACATTATCCCCATATTCTTCCCAACTAATGTGGATGCTCTTAGGTCAATTTTAGGTATTATGACCTACTAAAGGAGCTTGTTTGGTTTCCCCTTAATTTTGAGCACATTCTAGTTTTATGTGTCTTTGGGACTTTAGAATCTATTTTTTTAAACAAGCTATTTGGGACCTATCTTGGGTCATTAAACTGTTAAAGTATGGATCCCACCATTTTGATTGATATTTAAATAATAATTATAGCTCCTTTTGATTATAATATGTTTATTCAGTTTTAATTATTACTAACTACGATGTTTTGGTATTCATCGTTAGTAATAATATATAAGTTTTGGGTCTGTTTCAGTATTAGACCATTTTTCATTCATGTTATAATCCATTTGGGCCATTGAGGTTTATGAGCCTAATTTGAGTGATTAAGTGCTATAATTATTGTCTTGGCCTGTTTAGAGACATTAAGGATTTAATTGTTATTTTGGCCATTAAGAACTATAACTATTGTTTAAGTTGATTAAATTTTTAATCTATCAATAGTTTGCAGGGCCTTAATAATAATATTAAGTCTTTAATTTATGGCAAAAGCAATATAGTTGGTATATTGTCCGAATAATGGTAATTTGGTTATTACCTAACTTCAGTCTCCCTAAGTATAATAATAGTCATGATTAATTATTATGTGGTAAAATTGAGATTAGTATTTGTCATCCCTTAATTACAGTTTTGCCACTTATTAAGTTAAATTCGGCATTATTAATTACTGTTATTAAGTTTAGGGGCTAATCCCGTTTATTACCTCTTCATAATAATTATTATTTCATGGTAATCTACTATATTTGGTACATTGGTATGATTACCACTTCGTTTTACATGACTATTAATGTTGGTAATTAAGTCCTACCAATGAATTTTTTAAATGTACCATTAGATGCTGCATCGAGTTTATTGACACCGATAGTGAAGATTGGGAGAACTCTGGAGTCTTTTCTTCTCTTGTGGATCGTCATCGTTGTTAGCGCAATGGGCAGATGCGGTTTGCATCATTAAGGCTAGCCATTAATTATCTTTTATGGTTGTTATTGATAATTAGTGCTACAGTTACAGTTAACCGCTAATTTGGACTAGTCACATATTTTATCTTTAGAAAAATGGAAACATTTAAAAGGTGCATCACCATACTTTGATTTGTCGTTATTATTGATATTAATAGTGATTATAATGTTACTTATTACTATTAATAATTAATGATTAATGATGATATTAGTATTTTTATGGTATTCAGATGTGTACCTTGAACTGTTTCCAAATAAATTTATGTGACAATACTCCAGTTCAGAAAATAATTTTCTGGACATTAATACTTTTCGGACTTCAAATTTTATTAAGTTTTCAAAATTTTATCCAAAAACAGTTATAAATGTCAGCGGTTTTAACCATTGTTTTTCCATATTTAGTCTCCTACTTAATGTGATAATATTATTATGGCTATTTATTGCTATTTTGATTGTTTGCAATTTTGTCATTAATAATAATAATATTATCAACTGGGTTATGGAGAGTGATTTTGAATCAATTTAGTATTTTTGGACAAACATATTTTCCAGGCAATTGACTTTTGCCATTAATTCCATAATTCATTTAGTTCTTTGAATTATGATTGCCCATATTTGGTTAAGTATGAATAGATGAATATTTAGTGTCAATTCATATTCTTTAGTTGGTTCATACTCATTAGATTGTTTTATGCATTCGATCACATTAAGTGCATAATATTAAGTTTAATTATGCAATTAGGGTTTATGAGATTTTAATTTACAAATGATAGCATATCCTTTTGGTTTGATATTGTTTGAATTTGTAAATTCAGTTATTTCTCATAAATTTGATCTTTATGCATTAAAACATTTTTCCATGGGCTTACAGTTTAACAAAATTTTAAAGTATATATTCAGTACATTATTATTCAAAATGTTGGGTCTCTTTTCGTTTGGACTCATTGGTGTTTGAATATTAAGTTTATACTTTAAAATCTCATATTGTATATTTCTTTAAGTTATGCAGTTTATTTGGAATATATGAGTTTAAATGTTTAATTTATGCATATTTGTCCTATGCATAATATTCTGTTTTTTAAATTATGCAATTGTATTATGCCTTTAATAATGCATACTTTGGGATGGAATTATAGTAGTTCCTTATTAAGTTGGACTTATGCATAAACTTTAGTCGCGGTAGTGCCTGAATTTAAGCACGTTTAGTCCGCTATTTTTAGTTCACCATTTAATCTTTAATCATAGGTGAACCCTACAGTTTTCTGGTATATACCCTACAGTTTTAGGTTCGTACCCCCAAACAGTTATACATTAAGTATATATGAATCGGGGAGACATATTAGTTTTAATGGCCATGACTTAAGAACATCTTGTGCCACTAGTCTCCTTAAATTGATACTCTATTTAAGGAATTGATTTTCAGTGAGACTTAGTCTCTAACCACCTTTCCTCGGAGTATATTCAGTTTTTCCCATCACAATCTGGTATAATATGTTTGTCAAAATTTTAAGTACTCTTTGCCAATGTGATTTTATTTTGGTTCATTAAAGAATAACCAAAGCATCTTTAATTTACTGAAATATCTTGAGTTTTCAATCTTGGTTAATTAAGGAAATGCTACAGCATATTCAGCTACCTAA